TTGTCTATCTTGTTAGTCCCTGAAGATACCCGAAAGCCATATACATGGTCACGTTGACGTCAGGTTCTCATAACTAAGGCTATTTTTTGGGGGGGGGGGGGGGGGTTCATTCCGGATATTTTGCTAAATTGCCGGATATTTTGCTAAATTTCCAGACACTTTGAATTTCGGACCTTAAAGTTGGTGTAGGCCTACACGTGCTTTTTGGGTGTGGAACCTTGAAAAATAGATTTTCAAATTTCAATTGATAATTTTCTAGCATTACATAAGTTATGAGCATTGCAATGAGACATCGCACGAAAAATAAATCGGCCCACGACAAGTAAACAATTAATTAATTTCAACTTTTGAATTCAGAGCGGGACGCTAATTCGTTCTGAATAGTTTGCGCAATTTCTGGACTGCAGCGCGCCATTTAAAACCACTTTTTAAAACTGCATAAAGGCCTGCAAAAACAAACACGCAACTTTCTTTGTTACAGGGCATTATATTCCTTTAAACTTCGCTCGGAAAAGAAAATCGAAATTTTGATTATATACCCACTTTAAATTTCTTTACAAAATAAGCCATACATCGATGGGGTTCATCAACACGTTCGAGCAGCACCTCGCGAGGAAAATCCAGGGGATTTCGCGGGGTCTCCCGCATTCATTGGGCCCAGGGCCTCTACCCTTCGTACGGTGGACTAGTACCAAGCGACTCGTGACTCGAACTCGACAAGTGAATGACACACAAATGGCAAGGTGATTGGTTCTCTCCTCGGATTTATTACATACTGTAAAAGATTTTCAGAGATTAAATTTAATATTTGAAAACACTGGTTTGTATTTCTATTGTAATTATTTTTTGGCCAAGCACAGTTCCTGAAAAACATCTTTCAGAAACTAAGCTCGACAGTTAGGTGTTGTTAAATATTATATAAGACAATAACAAAGGGTAGTATATAATACCTTTGTTGTAAGTAGAAATTCCTCACAAAACATACAGCAACCCTAGACAAAAACCATGACAACGTGAAAGTCTGGAATTTGGGGTCCGCACAGGAATATAGTCCTAACTGAAGAACAAAGACAAAGAATAACACGCACAGTTTATTAACATGGAAGTGATCCATTTTAAATATTTCATGGTTAATTTTTTTATCTTTTTAACTTTCAGGTTACAAAAGAAGCACGCACTGTACACAATATAAGCACGAAGCACTATGATCTACCCTACCCTAAAGACTTGATCCATACAGTGTTTTTATGACAAATGACTAAAATAATATACACTCACATGTACATCAGCATTCTGGCTATATGAAGCAAACCGTTTCTCTTATTTTTGTGACTACCACAACACATCCATATATGAAAAAACAAGAAATTTTGAGGCACTAGTTATTAATACACGTTTGCAGAACTAACACCACATTTTTGTATAGAATGCAATGAGCTGTATGAAATATTGAAATGTATCCATTTATTCGTCTAGGAAGCACCGCCACGCTAAGTTTACACATTTCTTACAATACGAATGTTGTTGTTCAGCACTGCCTTTTATCATAATTTTCTTCCCCCAATAACCTATGACTGACAAAAAGAATGTAGACGAACCCAAGTTGCCTGTTCATTTTGTTCACTTCTTTACGAAGCTTTCTAGAAGTGCAATAAGGGCACCTGCAACACAGATGCCATGATACCTCAACAAAATGGAGCGGAATACCAACACAGCAAGATAAAACTGGAAAATAACTTTGTTTTCTGAAAACCTGATTTCATTTTTTTTTTAAAGGAAATTTAACTTCATTTGTTATTTGGCATCACAGGGTATCCCCACTTCTTTAATGAAATAATGATTACACGCTAAACTAAAATTGACAAAAACAAAACCAAATATATATATTTGCCAAATGAACGATTTCGTTGGCTCACTTGAATGGTTGAACCCCAGCTCGACCAATCATAGCACAGTAATCATCCTCTGCATGATCTGATTGGCTGCTGCATCAATACTGTTGATGATTAACAAAGTTCACCGTATAAAGCCAAGGCTCTTATTGCTTAGCCTTTGTTGGAAATTGAAAATTTTCCCCCAAGCTTTCTACAAAAGGCAGAAGTGGACCCTTGGTTTCAACACCTATGGATGAGTTTTTTTTTTCCCTTCTATATCTTAGATTCACACATACTGGAATTTTCGAGTGAAAGTGTACTATCAAAATGCTCCTATTTTAACCAGAATTAATTTCCTTGGGCTGAAATTCGGACTTAATATCCCTTACATAAAATCAACACATCTTGGAAATTCCTAGTTTTTGAGTAAAATCCATATGTGGAGACGTATTCACCTAAAGAAATTGCTCTGTGGAGATGTATACAATCTTTTGTTCCCTATTGTGCACATGTCTCCACAGGGTACCGTGTAACAGATCACACGTTTTAACAGCCAGTACTTGGGGCCCTATTATGTAAAGCCGGTTCGGAAACCAGACCATTTCTGATACGGTGCATTTCTGAACAAAAATAATTAACGGTTATACATGTTAAATAAAATACAGAAAATAAATTTACAAAAGAATTACAATGTATAAAACAAATATTTCACATATTTGTGTTGCATAAGAGCATGGATATATGTCAGTAGTTGAGCTTTTTCCTACAGCGCAGTAAAACTATGCCAAATGCTAGATTCCTTTAATTTCTAACCAACCAACTATAGGTACTTGAGACTTGAATGAAGACCACAGGACCGCTTCAACTTTGCAGCATTTTGAATGACTGTAGTATCTACAGGTACACGTAAAGCTGTCAGCTTAGCCCCCTTACAAGGCTTCCGGCTATTATATTCTAGCAGCTGACAAAAGCGCTCCTCTTCTGTCAAAAGAAAGATCAAATTATAAATCCTATATAATATTAGTCCGACCCACCTCAGTGCTATGTCAATATTACAAAAAATGAATAGAGTATGTTATTCGATATATTTTACACCAAAAGGTAGAATAATCCGATGTACAAGTATTTTAGGAGAATCGGAGTAACGTGATTAGGATTTATATGAATAGGTTGGAAGATAACTAGCAGTAATAACAAAACAAAATTTACAAAAACATAACGCTACAATGTTCGTGTACTGGAACCCTGTATACATAAAAACACAGATATGCTGCTGGTGATGAAGACTAATTATATAATCCGGGGACAGGCTGGGTAACATTACGGTTAACAAAAACATTCCACAAATTTTCACATAAATTCTCTAAATACTTTTACAAGGGCCACTTCTTATTTAATAATGCAAAAATGATGGTATGGTTAAGATATAAGCCCCATAAATCTGTGTTAAGTTAATACGATCTGAATTTTTCGAATTTTGAAACTGAATTACAATATTAGGATTATTAGCCACAATTTTGATTTATTCTTATTATTACATGTAAATAAAAAGAACTCATGTGTACGCGCAGGAAACTAATGCAAAAGAAGTGTGGCGACTAAAATGTACAAACAATTTCTGACAACGGAAAAAAGTATGAACAATTATTAGTTTGTACAGGATTTTCGAGCAGAAATCAATAAATCTGTGTGTACATATATGCCACACTGGCCAAGTATTATGAGGTAATTGAAATAGTCTGGTTCCCTGTCCCCACTGTCCTTCAAATATGGGGACAGGTAGCTAGCAGTGAATCCTAAATACATTACGAGGCTTTCCTCCTAATGTATGCAAATTATATGCATGACGTGCATAAGTCTGAACCCTGCCTCCTGATATGCATCCAAAATCACAACAGTAATGTTTGCGCGCAACCAGCCTATTGCAAAATGGCAATAGGCCACGAATGTACAATTTTGGAGGTGATGAGCTTCAGTTTTTGCTGATTCAAAAGGGTCTCCGGCAAATATCAATAAAGAGAGAGAAATTACTGTTCAGTATTCAAAACCCATGCGGCTGAAATGCTTAAAAAGTTACCTTCATGGAGACGCTGATGATTTTGCGTAATTTTTGTGGTAAGACAAGAATGATTTTTCTTACAATCATGAGTTCGATCACCCTACATGCACAAAGCTAGGCAGCGATTCAAAAATAACCAATCATGATGCACGCACGCAGAGGAGATCCAATCAACGGCTTTGAAATGGGAGCCAGTGACCAGTCCCCATGTATTTAGTGGGGGCCGGGAAACAGTCTAGTAATTGAAAAAGAGAAGGAAAATAAAGATTCTCTAAGAGAAATTCTCGGCAAAAAATCCTAACAAATTTCACGCAATAAGGCTGCTGCTACTACCATTACTTGCCAAATTATTTGGGCACGTTACACACATGGACGTGAATTGTCATCTACATGAAAAAATAGAAGACAAGTCTTAGAATATGCAAATTTATACGACATTCATGAGCACCAAATAACACGATTTGAAAAAAAAAAAAAATTCACTTGAAACTATAAGGCGAAGAAGTAAACTTTTAATTTCTTATCTGTTTGTTTTCCAACATCGTAAGCATTCTGTTCTCTGAGTATTATCTTTTTTTATTAATGTGCGACGTCTCATTTTTTATCTGTTGACTTGTTAACCCTTTTGTTCATAGCAACCATGTTGCTTTTATTTAGAAACAAACTCTCTGAAAAACTGGTTATCGTTCAAATTCTAACAAGGACTTCTTTGTTATCATTATTTTTGCACAATTGTGGCTGTTTGTCTCGTTGGTTTATGATACTTTCATCACACAATGGTACGCATTTGGAAGCTAGTTTTTGTGTGCGCTGATGCTGTATTTTGCTTGAGCGCTTGCTCATAGAGTCAGGAATAGGAATAAGGAAATAGGTACAGGAATAAGGAAAGTGCTAAGTTGTCGTAATGTCATTTAATGGAATTTGTATAACTGCCGCACCACTCTACTGCAGGCAAATGGTCAAATTATATGAGTACATCAGATTCCGAAAAACTTTAAGTTCAAGAATTGCACTAATCCTACATCTAGCAAAATATGGAACAAAGGAAAAGCAACCAGGGAAAAAAGTGACATATATGTGACATATTTTCTTTATTCTTTAATTCATGTCTTTGCCTAGTTCCTAAAAGACATGCTGTTCACCACTAAAGTGGGGTTGCATCACTGGCACCAGACTACTTCCAACGAGACTTCCTGCTCTGGGCTTCAGACGTGTGGATGAAAGATACCAAGATGGCTGCCAGCGACCATCTTTGTCTGGTTCCCAAAGGGCCACTGTACACATCACAATATCTGGTTCGATGACATCATAGGTACCAGACTATGCTTAACATGTGCCTCATACTGGGTGTCACAGACATGTGTTCACATAATCCAAGTTGGTTGCTGCTTCAAAAATAAATCTTTGTCTTGGTTGACAATGCAAATTTCTGTTTTGTATCAAAGCAGGAATAATTTTGGTCCGGAACTTTCGACTTGAATGGACAAGTCAGAGGCTTTGGGTCGAAGAATTTTGTGTCAGCTGTACGTAAACTTGGGATGTGATTACCAGTTGATGGCAGTCCATTCAGTGTGCATAAAAGATAAGATGGTGGTGCGGTGGTCTCAAAATATGGTCTTCTTGTTCTTGCTCTTTTTGGGATCGTACGTCCTGCAGATAGAGAAAGAAAAGAGCGGTCACAAAATGGACAGAGGGCGGTTAAAGATTAGTCACATAATTGGAGTATGGATGAGGAATTGCAAGGAATGGTTGGAGATGGTCAAAAAAGGCCTGAGAATGGTCAGAGAGAGGTCTGCGAGTTTAGAAAGGATGGACTGAAGATTGCATATTGAATGGTTAGAGAAAACAGAAGAAAAAGTGATCTGCGACAGTGTTGGAGTCGAGACCTTGCAAGACCATCACAAGACCATCACAAGACCTCCAGTCTCAATTCAAGTCCCAAGCTATTCAAATGAACTGCAACAAAGGCATTCCTTTGTCATTGTTCGTGCCCTGTTACTTGTGTCTGGTCTTGTGGCTGGTCTTGTGATGGTCTCGACTACAACACTGATCTGTGAATGAACAGAGAATGTAATACAGCCCATTCATTCTGGGCCAAAGAACATTAATTTGTAGCGTTACACAAATTTTGGTCCTGGGAATTACCATGGACAACATTTCAACTTTGGTAAAATTCACTGTGAATGTTTACTGAAGCTACATTTGTGTTCCCATTTGCGTGAGGCATGAACCAGCCTTAACCCTAACCCTCCTCAATCCTCCAAAATCAACCAGGCCGTTTTGGAGGATTGAGAATGAATGGTAAAAAAAAGTCAGTTGATTTTGGAGGATACATTGTAGTGAGGTCGTAAGCTGTGCCCTACATTGTTTATGTTCGGTCATGCCTAATTGAGGCCCAAATTATATCGGATATCATTGCCTCAACGTATTACAGTGATTGTTGGAAGTTTTTGGAGGATTGCGGCTGCATCCAACTTTTTACATCACGGCAGTTGGATGATTTTATAGGATTGCAGGTGGTTCCCAGCTAAAATTGCCTAGGCGGTTAGAGTTAAGAACGACTACAGAATGGATAAAGAATGGTCAGTGTAAGGAAAGAATGTCAGATGATAGGACAATAAGAAATGAATGGCCCAAGAATGGTCAAAGCATGGACAGAAAATGGGCTGAACATGAAAATACTATGGTCTCAGAAAATGGCCACTAAATGGTCTAAGAAGTCATGTGATATACGGTCACCAAACGACCAGAATAATCAGAGAATGCACAGAGAATCGTGGGATGGACGACTGAAGTCTCTGAATGTGACCTACTTGGAAGTTTCAAGTCGGAGGCGCTGGTTGTCTTCAAAGATCTGTCTGTCCTTCTCAAACTGCCGTCTCTTCTCCTCCAGCTCTCGGCGTTGCTGATCAAGACTCTTCTTCATCTGATCCAATCGGTGGTGAAGCTGAGAGAGACAAGCACACATTTTGCCATTAAGCTTTGACTACCCCAAAAGAAAAGAAGGCTTCGATTATAAGCAGTTTGCATGAAGCCCAGTTCATACTCGGCCCGAAAGCGAAAGCGAACGTGAATTTGTGATGTCATGGCAAGTATTCGCGCTGCGAATTCGTAAAAGTTAACATATTTTAACTCGGGCGAATTTCGCAGCGAATATTTCATGACGTCAAATTCGCTTCGCATTCGCATTCAACTAAGTATGAACCGGGGTCAAGGGTCAGCCATTGTCTCTAGTCAACCATCAGTCACACATCAAAGTCCGGGTTCACGAAATACTGCACAATGCAGATTTGGTTACAACTTTCCCACAGACTTGTGTAAATTCATCTGCCGTGTTTAAGAGGAAAATTGCCAAATCTAAACATGCGTAATGTCCACCACTAGAAATCTTGATCTGTTGGACTATTGAACTGGCTTCATACACTCTTATCAGTCTGAACACAGCCTCAAAATCGCCCACGATGGCTGACGGTGAATTAGAGGCTAAGGCAGTGACCGAATTACTTGGCTACGGCTGGACATTACACACGCGCCTATGGAAGCCGCTGCAGCCACTTCACATAGACCTGTGTTATTTCCAGCTGTAGCCAAGTAATTCAGACGCGGCCTGATCTACTAACGCGCTGTTGGCCTAATGACCTGAAGCCATAGAGCTATATTAAATTACTAGAGCGCCAACTCTTCATTCTTGCGCTCGGAGACACTTTGAAGCCGCTCTGGGTGCAGACATTTTGAATTTATGTGCTTGTTTGTAGAACACAACCAAAATAGATGGATTAAATTTTAAAAGTGTACTCCAAATGCAACGCACAAGTAAAAAATACGCCAAAAACTTAAACGCGTCATGACGGTTCAAAAAACGTCACTGCCAAAAGCATCTGCAGCAGAGGGACGCACACACGTTGCGCTGTTTGCGTAGAGCAAAATGAAACACTCATTTGCTGATTGTGCGTTTCAGTTTTGGGCGTATCGGCTTCGATGACGCACCGGTATGTAATACAAACACAGATATGCAAATAGCCGTACAAAAGCCGTACAAAATTTCCAGTATTCCATAGGTTTGTGCACAAACATGGATGCGCCCAGCAGGCATTACTTTTGTACATCGAGTTAGCGCTCTAGTAATTTAATATAGCTCTATGCCTGAAGCAGAGGTCAACTTAACTTAGATATCCACAACCGTATGAATTAGGGACTACATTCCGTATGGTGTGCTGGGGAAGTAGGCCAATCATACTACGGGTTAAGCCCCAGTCACACATTCACGGTTTGGAGCTACGGATCTCCACGGTTTGAAATTCGTGATAAACCGTGGGAGTACCGTTTTCATCCTGCGTACATCCGTGGTTATCCGTCATCTTCCTTGGGTATTCGTAGAGGGGCTACGGGAAGTTTTAAACTGTTCAAAACTTCTGTGGTGAAAAGTCATGAAAATCAAACAGTGGGACATCTATAGGACAACCGTACTGATTCGTAGTGTCATTCATGGCTATTTGTACTTATTCTTAGAGATTCGTACCTCATTCGTGGTAAATATCCCTACGAATTCGCTACGAATGTCCTACCGATATGCCCGGATGTGCTAGGGTTCTGCTAAGGTTGTACTATGAATATTCACGCTTTATTCGTAGGAAAAAAACTTGGTCATCCGTGGCCCAATCGCAGACAACCGTGATGTTAACGTCATTATTCTCAGTAATACCGTTGATATTCTTCACCAATCCGTCCATATTCTTGACAAACCGTGGGGTATTTGTAGAGAAACCTTAGGACAATCGTGGCTACCCCGTCAGGAACCGTAGTGCATTCTTAGAAAGTTGATTCCTCCACAGATCTCGACGGTTCATCGTGATCGATTGATTCTTGGTAAACCGTGGATATTTGTAGCTTAAAACTGTAAATATGTGACTGGGGCTTAAAGGGGCATCGTCAAGCAGGGGTGTGAGTGACCACTGATAAAAACAGCTGAAAACAGCTGAAGAAGGTGTAAAAAAAGCTGAATTTCGGAAATCTCCTATACTTTTATACACAGCAAGTGAGGGAAAAAAGCTGAAATCCAAAAAAAAAAAACGCTGAAATCAGCTAAAAAGCTGAGATTTCACACCCCTGGTCAAGGTAAACAGCAACCGATAACATTTCAGAGTCATCGAGCGGCATTGCTTGTCCTCATATATGATACTGGGCCCATGTCTAGGCACAACAATTTGGTTCTCAAATGACTTTGCCTGAACCTATGCCTGAACGCATACATTTGCAAAGCAACATTTTCTGCGAGGTAGCTCCTGGTTTCCAGTCTACTGATTTATACACCGCGTCATACTCTGTGAAGTCTGGTACCCTACCTCCTTCTCCGAGTCCTCCAGCTTCTTCTTCTTCTCCTTGACCTTCATCTCAAAGACTTGCTCCATTTCGTTCTCCATCTTCTTCATCTTCATCTCATGCTCTTGTTTCTCGTCCTCAAACTGCGCCATGGGGTTCTTGGCGGCGACCCTGAACAGCAAATCAAGATGGGGCAAAAAGGCAGAAAAACCTGGGCATCAGACATGCTTTCTAGTCAGGTGGCTTAGGCCCAATTTTTGACAAGATCGTGACCGACTGGTCCAAAGCACCAAACTTGGCAGATATATTGTTATAGCCTTGGAGAAGATATTTAGAAGGGGTGACACCTGAATTTCTTTTGGGAAGGGTGCCTAATTTGCATAAATCATTAATCCCTTCCGTGTAATATATTTACTCCCATATTTGAGTATATTTTTTATTTTTTTATTTTTTGAAAAGTTTATTTTGGTGATTCCACTTACACATCCTTACTTCACTAACATTTTCTAAAGCATTTAAGACTGACTGAATAATTATCAGGACAAAGTAACGATCCAAAATGGCTACTATTATACCATAAAGTTGCGCGCATTTATCTTGTCTCCAGATATCATCAAGTTGTCTTACCAAACCTTAGTATTGATGAGCTTCAAATTCACCAAGTTGCTTACTGGCACAGTAACTCGATTACAACTTCATGGAAAATCATGTGAACAATGATAAAATTGTGATATTTAGCCCAGAAAACAAAAACGGGGAACTTGATCAAGTCCCTCACGTTAGGCAGGCTTCGCCTAATGTTTAGCCCTATTTACGGACACCTCATTTCCCCTCTCTTTGTTTTTGTGGGCTAAATATCAAGATGATATAATTTTTCACATGATTTCCTATGGGTAACTGTGCCAGTAAGTATCTTTGTAAATTTGAAGCTCATCAATACTGAGGTTTGGCAAGACTACTTGGTGATATAAGAGGGAAAAGGAAATGCGCGCAACTTTAGGGTATAATGGATGCCATTTTGGATCTTTATTATGTCCTCAAAATCTTCAAGTCTCTGATATGCTTTAGAAAATGTTATTTAAGTAAGGATATGTAAGTAAAATCCCCAAAATATACTTTTCAAAAAATAAAAAAAATTAACATCTAACCAAATATGGGAATAAATATATTACACGGCAGGGATTAACGCTTTATGCAAATTAGGCACCCTTCCAAAACGAATTTCAGGTGTCACCCCTTCTAAATATCTTCTCTGGGGCCATAAGAATCTATCTGCCAAGTTTAGTGCTTTGGACCAGTCGGTCACGATTCCAACCGTATGCAACCTGACTATTCCTCTTTTTACCTAATAAGCTGAAACTTTTTTGGGCATCTCTGAGTGTTAATTTTCTGTAGTGTACATGACCCAACTGCACAAAAAGAGTCAGAAGTCGTTTGAGTAATAAGCCTTTTTTAATTTTGCACAATGGGAATCAATAGGAACGGTCCACATTTTTTAACGAACACATGAAACCTGCAAAGATTTGCAAGTGAGTGATTTATCAACATGAAGTGCACAGTTTGCCGTTTCTACTACAGATATCAAAACCGGTCGTGAAAAAAATGTCACTAACAATATTTTGCAGAATCTGGTCACAACTATCTGAAGGTCTGTCTTTGGGGTTTCCTTCGAGTATACTCAAATCAGCAACTATTATTTTTTTTTTTTAATTGTTTTAATTAAATTTTTTTTTTTTTTAGAAACATCACAGGTAAACGTTTCAAGGTGGTTTATCTCTGATGTAATTTTTCCAACATGGTGCTAGTGCAAATATATTAAGTGATAAATTCTTTTTGTGATATTCAAATTGTCTTTTGTTTTTGATTGAAAGATTCTTAAACTGGATAGTGAATTATCTGTTGTTAAAAAAAGGAAAAAAAAGAAAAAATCTTTTCTGAAATGGTATGGGCTTCGTGCGCAGACAAGAGAGGGCGCATTTTTTTACCACTTTCGCACCACTGGTCCACGTACATATTGCGCAAAGTATGCACAAGACTTAGTTATTTTATTCTGAATGTACACAAAGCCGTAGCATCTGATGTCATCGCGTCACTCGCGTGAGCATCAGACGTCGTCAGCAATGCGTTTGAATGTTTCTCCCAGTGGTCTCCCCCAACTTACCGTTGAGGGGGTACTTGTGCATGGGGCCCATAGTTTTAAAAGAATTTTTCTCAACTACTATGAGGTGGCACGTTTTGTACAATAAGTTCTTGTGCAAGAATAAAAACAAACATAATCAAAGTAGCGTCTTTGTTAGTCAAAAAGTAAAACAAAAAAAGGTCTGTGTGTTTGTCTAGCTTTGTGTGAAACTTGAGGTGTTTCTGTTTTTGGTGCTGATTTTAACATTATACCGTTGCAAGAGAAGTTTCCCACAATGTACCAAATGCAAAAAAAAATGGCTGATCGGCTAAAGTGATCGAGTGACCAGGATGGGAATTGGAGTGAAGGAGTGATAACATAGTTGGTGCTGTCTAGGCCATGACTTGGCGTCCATGTAAAAAGTTACCCATGCTAGCTTCAAATCTGGTTCATACCCAGTGCAAAAGCGAATGCAAATTTGTGTTGTTAGGGTAAGTTTTCGCGCTGCATATTCGCAGACTTCGAATACATTTGAAAGTCCGTAGAATTCAGGCGATTCACAATGCAGTGCGCCACCAAGAGTTTGCCATGGAGAGTTCATTTTTCCCAGTGCATTGTGGGAAATGGTCGACAAATTCGCAGCGCGGGACATTTGAAATTGTTAGTTTTTTCCGGTCAGTAGTTTCGTAAGCGTATGATTCGAGTATCTGTTTACCCTTTTGTTTTCTTTTTCTCAATATGGTCTTTTTTGTAAGGCGGCAGAACGCTATGCTCAAATCTATAACAAATTAGCTCAAGTTGTCTACTGACACTCATTCAAATTGTTCATGTTGTGTCGACCGTAAACTTGAAAAATAGACTCTCCATGGCAAACTCTTGGTGGCGCACTGCATTGTGAATCGCCCGAATTGTACAGCAAATGTTTCTTGACCTCAAAATCTGCTTCCCATTCCATGGAAGTATGAACCCGCCCACGCTTAATAATGCCTCAAAAGAAAAATTGTGAACTTGAGAGTATGTGCATATATGAATGATCAATATTTGGGCCGCTGACTTCAATGGAAATTTACCAGTGCATGACAGAGTCACCAGAGAATGTTTGTAAAGGCCAGTTCATATTTCCCGCGAATGCAAAAGCGAAACGAATTTGATGTCATGAAACATTCGCTGCAAAATTCCCTGGAGTTGAAATGTGCTCAACTTGTGCGAAATCACAGCGTGAAAGTTTTGCAGTCACGTCACAAATTTGCCTTCGCATGCGCTTTCGCACCGAGCATGAACCGGCCTTAACATGAGCGGTCTTATTTCCCGTAGATTTTGTCCTGCTTGGTTTGTTTTCAGTGACAAACCAAAGAGCCTGCTGAAAAAAAATGTCTACAACTTTCGTAAGATTGAAAAACTCAAATGGGTTATTTGACAGACAATGTGGTTGGAAACCATGGGTTAATCAATGCAAGAGTCTGCTATCAATGAAGAGGACTACCATAAGAGGCAAAAATATGAAATGTCAAAATTTCTGAGATATGGGTCCACGTTTATCATTACGACATGGCACTAATAGAAGTTCCCTGCATGAGACAGATATGACTACACTACGCAAGTACCCATTAACAGAAGCCACTCTACAAGAGCCTACTAGAAGGGGAGGGCTAGGCGTATTAAACTACAGCAAAAAGCCACTCAAGCACAGCAGAAAGATCTGGGGAAACTTACATGTAAGACAAGGGTTAGCTATGTGTTCTGAGATAAAGGAATACATGTGAGATTGAAGTTCAGTCATATCCCTTAAAGGTACAGTCCATCATTTGTAATTTGTGCATTTTGTTCATTTGAAGCAACAAACGTACTCAAAATCTAAAGACGGTTGCTGAACAACTAACATGATGAAGTTTCAGCTCAGTGAATGCTGTGTATTTCGAGAAAAACAGCATTCTAAGATCTCGATTTCAAATCAAACGTTGCTGAATTATGTTTTAAACTGGGTCTGAATTCAGTGTCTCAGACACGTTCTCACTGCGTCGATTGCAGCTACGCGATGCCGCGCACCGATCCGACGAGTTATAGCAACCGCGCACGCGTATGCATTGTGCCAACACTTGTGCGCGCTCTGCCGAGTAACAAAACGAACTACTAACAGAAATTTCCAACGGTGCGCCTTCAGACGCACCGTTGGAAAGGCCTCCTTTCGTTGATTTCTTCAAAATGACAGCTTGCCAGAAAGAATAATTTCACAGGGAGTTGAGTCCCCTTACTATCTTTCAACCAAGTATGTTTTTCAACAATACTTACGTCAGTTACTTTTTGGATAGCTGCAAATGATGGACTGTAGCTTTTATAACAGGACACCTTGAAACTCAAATACCAAATTCTTCACGTTCCACACTCACTTACCTTCATCGCCCAGCGCAATCTCAAATTAAGTATTACCCACAACTTTGCCCCTGCGGCAAATAAGTGTCACCAAGTCAATCAAACACACTCAATGCATGTACACTGATACCATTCTACATCAATTCAGTCAAATCAGTTCCAATAATCTCACTCCACGCAAGGTTATCCCAAACACACAGCAACCGTCAAACAACCTACTTTTGAAACGCTGTCCTTGCACCTTCTGACCACAATCTCTACGTTAACCCATCCACCTTGCCAACCAGTGATCTCAACGTAACTAAAAATCAGGATCTAGCTTACTAGCCAAGAGGTTCTGTTATCCCCTCAAAAGTTAACGATAAATAATGACCAAAAAAAATATTGCTGTATTTTCAGAAAGATATATCAATGACATTGTGACTGAATGTAGTACATCTACTGGCATAAGGCATACTGGGGCAGAGATGTAAATTATGATTCTGATGAACAAAAACAAAATCATAATATGGATATTCCTTGAATTCATTTCTGAGCCAAGCGTTAATATTCTGTTTTCAGAAAAAGAGGAGTTAGCCAATAAACAAAACTGAACTGAAAAAAAAATTGCAGTATAAAGTGGAAAAAAAATGTTGCTAAAAAACTCCAATGTGTTGTTAGTACAGAAACCAAAAAGCAGCAACTGCATCAAGTCCACTCGCTCCCTCTGGGGTGTATTAGTAGACATGGGACATAATGGTACTTAACATCAATGTCTTCTGTTAACAATAGCAACAAAAAAGTCAGTCTTGATCAAAGACTGATTGTCGCTGTAGTTGACAGGAGAGAGTGAATCAAGTATCATGAGACATGTCCACGCAGGCCTGTCAGGCTGGATGGTGATTTTTTTTAAAAAACAAGCGGGAAAAAGGGAGGTCCACACGGAATCCATCTTTCAAAGAAGCTTGATCGGTTACTAAATTTTCAACACATTTCTTGTACATGTACATATCCCTCCTCATTTTCTGTCAAACAATTTTCTTTTGAAATACTTTTTGAGAGTATGTCTTTTCGTTTCAATTTTGTGTACTGTACATGTACATTAAGCAGGGAATGTAGTCGATCCCATCGCAAGTAAATAACAAGTCCAGTAACAAGAAAACCACAAGTCCAATCACAAGGAAAAGTGGATATAACAAAAGAAAGCCTTCGTCAAAGCTGATTTGAATAGCTTGTGAGTTGTATTGGGACTGGAGGACTTGTGATGGACTTGCAGGGACTTGTGATGGACTGGACTACATCCCTGACATTAAGATGTTGAACAGGTGTTGAAAATCTGAAAAAGAAAAAGCCAGATGAAAGCGATGAGATTCAAGGAAATCAGATGTGCAAAGAAGCTTGGACCGGAGAGGGATATGAACCCGAGACCACTAAACTGCAGTTCCAGTGCAACAGAGTGAGCTCTCCAGCCCCGTAAATGGGGGTCTGCTTTTGTCAACCCTTGTTGATCAAGGTTAACATTCTCTTGATATCAGCAGAGTGGAGGACATGACCCATAGACCACTGGATTAAGTTCCTACAACGGTTGGTGGTCTTTTGTTGGTTGACCCTCATTGATAAAAGGTCTGTATTCTCTTGACGTAATCAGAATGGACATGGGCATGAACCACAGACCACGTGTCTGCAGTTCCAGTGTTCTACTGTGATTCATGGTCTTTCAAATGGTCAACCCCCATTGATGAAGGGTGAATTGTCTGGACATTAATCAGACTGGACGGGGATGTGATCCAGGCACCACTGAACTGCAGTTCCAGTGATCTACAGACCGATCCCTATGAATCATGGTCTCCCATCGGTCAACTGTTTTGCTCAAGGTTGATGTTCTGTGGCGGTTTTTTTTTCTTCAGAGATCTTGTTATCAAAGAAGTGGGAGAAATAAAGGCGTGTGATCCAAAGGAATGTAACATGATCTCACCTCCAGTCAGCGGCCATTTCACTGCAACAAAACAAAGCAGCATGCAATTGACATGAATACCAGTAACATACATACATACACGTATCCCCACCGATCTCTATATAAAGACTGGATAGCGGACGCCCATACACCAGTGACATACATGTAGTTGGGCAATTCCACGGTTACTCACGTTACATTTTTGATGTACTTTTGAGTTTCCTTGGGCTGTAATTACCTTACTGAAAAGGTTTAATAACTGTTATCTCCATGGTAGATAGAGTAGACCTAGACCTACCTAAGCACCAAAGATGACATACAGAAAAATGTGTTATGTATGATAAACATGACGCACAAAATTGGTTACTCACGTTACGAAAATGTAACGTGAGTAACCGATTTTGTGTGTCTTGTAACACATTTTTTTGGATGCCATCTTTGGTGCTTAGGTAGGTCTAGGTCTACTCTATCTACCATGGGGATAACAGTTATTCAACCTTTTCAGTAAGGTAATTACAGCTCAAGGAAACTCAAAAGTACATCAAAAATGTAACGTGAGTAACTGTGGAATTGCCCAGTTGAATTTGCATTTTGACCAGTTCGCCCCAGTCTTGCAAAAATGGCTGCCGATATACGAACTTTCTACGCATGTATTTCACATGCATTTTGTTCACAAACACGTATTATGATGTTCTAAAAAGGACAAATTTCCGTCATGATTATTTTTCCAAACATCGCAAAAAGTGAACAGCCGCATTCAAAAAGTAAACCACGACGTTTGAAAAATTGTGAACCCTGGTCAGTGGTGGTGGACAAAAGGCAAACCAGGTGAACCACAATGTTACAAAAGTGAATCACAACTGCCCAAAAAGACGGCAACTTGTCCTTTATAGATCACCAACCAGTGATTCTTCTGCGGCTTTCTGTATGCTATCCAGTCTTTATATAGAGATCAGTGCGTATCCCACACCCAAAAGGGGGAAGAACCAAGATGGCATAACACCGGAAAGGTAATATGAAAAGATTATAATTTACTATCAGGACCGTTGGGTCAAAATGGAATTCCGGTATAGTTTTCTCATTTCTTCACCACCCATTCCCCCCCCCCCCCAGCTCCATTCAATTATACCTCTTAAAATATTCATATATGGGTTTTAAAAAAAGGAGAGATCATTATACACTACTATCAGTTAACAACCAATTTTCATCTGATCCCGCCATTGTAACACATGCCATGATGTTAGAGTGCTGATGTCTCTCCTGGTTCCCAACATATTGAACGTCAGTAATGGTTTAGTGACATTAATGTACCAGTCACTCTAATCATAAACACTAAAAAAAAAAAAACATTATGATTTTTTTTATGAAAAACACTGCTATGAACTACCTACATGTATCAAGAATGCAGCTAGCATCATGAATGAAGCTAGCAAAATACAGACTGGATAGCACATTAGGATTAGGCTGAGGTCACAACGGCGCCAGTTTCGTAATTTTCCAAAGAAGATGGCGGCGTATGAGAGGGTTCCATCGGACATTCCGTGGACAGGTTACGGCTGTTTAAAGCTTGCATTTATCAACAGGTCAAAAAAGCAAAATACTGAAAAAGTGGCTGTTAACATTTCAAGCTTTGTCTCTGCGAAAACAAAAGATGCCAATTGTTTTTAACACGTGTAGTAGACAAATGATTACAAATATGAATAAATTTGAAAATCAAAGAAAAAAACAATCAACCCCGATCACTTTTTTTTAACACTTTTCTCCACTTCGGTCTGTGCCAAGTTCCGTCTCATTTTGCCAGAATGCCTCACATTTGGGGGCCAAATAGAGATTTGCAGTGATTGCACAGCGTTATGCACAGCATTGGGCATATGCACTACCCCTTGAATATAATAGAGATTCCTCGCAAAATGGCAGCAGATGTCATGCACTGACAAAAAAATGAAAATATTTTCAATATGTTCACTACATGCATGCAACTTTTCCTCAGATCCGCTGATTTCCTCGTTTTTGAAAAATACTGTACAAAGTCTTGTGTGGTTTGGAGTTTTCCTTGTTTTTTCCCCTAAATTCCCAGTTGCATGCCTGGCACTACATGCTAGTCTATGTAATAAGCCCTTACGAAGCAAGGGTCTATGATATGCGAACAGATTCGGCGATTAATTATGCAACAAAAACTGAATCTTGACCTTGAGATTCTGACCATTCAGCGGGCGCTCCTATATCGGGTCTTCGGTTATATACCCGTTGTCGCGTCATAGACATCTATAAATAAAAGCTAGACACGACATCTATTTTTCGTTTACGTTGTTAATTGGCGAATATAGCCTGCGGTCATGCGCTCTGTAACGCTATGTTACACGATGCGCCAAGCTGGGAGCCAATGTCGTGTCTAGGTTTTATAAATCTTTATGCCCCGCTGCTGTTGTATTACAAAAACACTGCATCCGAATTGACCAATCAACGACTTAGTCCAGATTTCAGAGTGAAATGACGTCACGATTTAGTAAAGTCGACTGGCGTGCCTGGTCTTATAAATTTGCATGCTTTGACGTTGGACCGGAGACAGGGGTCCGTGGACAACTGGTGATACTAACTACATGGATGGAAAACTGCAGATCACACCAGTCCCTAGAATATTTCAGAACAATTCAATCACAGGCAGTGTCGCAGTCAAGTCCTTTTGCCAAGTCCGACAAGTTTACTGAAATATGGGCTGATAAAAAGAAATTAAACTAAAGAAACTAGAGAGAGTGGTGCAAGCTCATGCAGGCTTTTGATTATGGGTATATATATTATGAAAAAAAATAAAAATAAAAATGGCAAGCTCAAAAGAAGGAAAAAAAGATACTTGCGGTGTTTTCAAATACTATAGTATTCCTACTTACAGTATTCAAAGTACTCAAGTCAGCGCAGCCTTGCTGCTAAGGCTTTACTCCCAGGGTCATATGAAATTTGGACGCCTTTGAAATCTGGTCTCCTCATTATCTTCACTTAGGCATGCGCAATACAGCCAAAAAGTCCGTATTTCACAGAGTCCAAATTTCACACGACGATGACCCGATTTCATTGAGCTTGCTTAGCAGCTGGGAAGTGCGCACCAGTCACATGTAATACACACTGTATGACATTTTGGCCGGTAAGCGGATTTCGTTTAGCGATTATCTAAAAAATGAATGCGGCCTGATGTTGCGAACTTAACAAGTTCTTCTTCAAAGGCAAAATGGCGGCAGTAGAAGATACAAACATGTAGGGAGGGACTCACAAGCATGCAGGGTTGGGAAGAGTAACACACAAGGGTCTCCCAACTCTCGATGTTTGTGGGTCCCTACATGTGTGTTTCTTGTACCTCCGTCATTTTGCCTCCGAAGAAGAACTTGTTAATTTCAGGTCAATCCAGTCAGAAAGCAGTTTGCAGCAGTCCTATTCGTTATCATTAGCAAATATCTTGTGTGCAAAGCAAGCTTCTGTGCTTGGTAATGGTGGGATTAAAATCCAGAATTTTAATCCAATTTTGTTGAATTCCATTTTTTTAGTTTCAATTTTGGAAACCAAATATTCAAAACCAACCTTCAAAAAAATTGGTACTTTCATTTTGTTTGTGACACAAGCTAAAGAAAACAACTGAAAGATCTCTCAATTTGCTCCATGGTCTCTGACTGTAACTGCATTCACTCGCTAGTGGTCTTCTCGGTCCATGAACAGTCAGACCAATTCACCTGATCAGAGAGTTCCCACACATTTTTTATAACATTACACCTCTCGAGCGTTTTTTATTAAGGCCCAGTGGTCATTGAACCGTGGGGGGATTGCATGCAGCACCTCACTAGTCACATTTTGTTGGCATGGCTGTGAGCTGAATGAGAACTTCCGATGAATCACATAACCGTTATTCAGTTTGAAAAAAAAATTAGGATCACCGGATTTTGAAATCTCCGATTTTTCCCACCACTAGTGCATAGCAGCTCAACGACTTGCCCCCTGATTTTCAACCTCATATTTCAGTGAACATGGAGACTGTCAACAGAACTCGACTACAACACTCATGCCACGAAATAAATAATCTCCGTTTTAAGCGGAAACCTACTTTGAAGCTTTCTTGCTGTCGCCGGCCGTGACGGCGGTCAGCTTGCGACACCTGAAGTTCTCGTAGTGTACGTTGTTCGTCACATCCTTCAGGTCCTGCATGTGCGTCCGGATCAGCATGTTGCGCAGAGGGATGAAATCGCAGTGTTCCAAGTTTTCAACTGTAAAAGTTTGTTACAAATGTCAATTATACAGGTAAACATTTCGATGCCCAATTTATCGCAGCAAGTTTACAACAGGAGTATCCAGAGGTCACTTCAGTGGTTGTGCACAAAGTTCATGGAGAGTCAAGAATATTTTTCGAAGTATTTTCTAACAAAATTGGAAATGTTTCTCAGTCCCAGATTCATGTCTTTTCAACATTTTTGCAATGACTGACCTTCATTGAGATAATATTACGTTATTTAGCTAACATATGCGCCTATGGAAATGGCTGAAGTCACATAGGACAGCCATGTTTCTTACTACCAGACACAGTCATGAAATTTGGACGCGGTTTTAGACATACCTTCAGCGACCCCCCATGGATACTGACGACCCCTGACCCGCTTGCCGTTGGCTTCCAAGATCATGTTGCTACCTACGACAGCAAATGGAACCCGTTCCTGAAGCAAAACACAATGACAAACAAACACATTAGGATATCCGGGCTGTAGACATCCAGAATATGCCCTCAGGTGAGTTTCAATAGGCCTTATTCTTGCGCAAAAGAGTGTGCTGCAACCACACAAACTGACGTGAATCGAAGGCTACTGACGCAAACAATTTCTGATTTTTAGATTAATGAGAGTTTGTAAAATGCTTCAATGAACTTCTAGTGTTGGTCTCCAGAAATTGGTGTCCTTACAGTGCTCCCATTTGCTAAAAAAATATGGCCTATTGTAGTGAAATATTAGATTAATTTTGCAAGCGGAAAAACTTTCAAGTTGCTCTAGCAAATATCACATGAGGTTGCAGCATGCTGAGCAGAAACTACATGTAAGCTCAAGAATCTTTTACTACAGTCAGGCAGCAACTGGGACTTTAGCAAAAACAAGGAAACTCCAAACCACACAAGACTTTGTACAGTGTTTTTCAATTTGTAAAGGCATTCATGAGAACTAAAAAACCGAGGAAATCAGTGGATCCGCAGAAAAGTTGCATGCCTGTACAGTAGAATGTCGCTATAAGGAACACTGCTACACAGACCTTTTATGGGGCTACACTGAACAGACTAATCTAGTGTGCGTTCCACTTTGAGCGAACACCGCAAGACGCAAATGTTGCCAATGATTTCCCATTAGCTATGCACAACTCATTTGCATTGTTTGCATCAGGGGAACACACCCCACGTGACCACAATTGGAAGACATTATAAACCATTATCATGTTGGGGCTATCTTGATTTTTTTCCCATTCAAATCAACGTAACCAAAGCGAGGTTGGAAGGGAAAATAGTCTGGTTCCTTTTTGCACAAAAAACATTATCATTCAGTGCTGTTATGGGACACAGGGAACATGACTGAAATGGTGGCAGCATGATAAAGGTCTATTGATGCGATTCGTGGCTTAGTACACGTCACATGCTTTACTTGATGCATGCGTACAGTTCAGCCTACTGGATGAAGTACTACTGAATGCATCTGAGCAACCTATACGCGAGCCTGGGACCATCTCAATTATAGCTTCTGATTGTGATGTGTGGATTTGTAAATTTACACACATTGCTGAACATGCTTAGCAGAATGATGGTTGAAAGCACAAATGTTAAGCACTGAATCTTATAGGGCGTAGTACAGTGTGCATTAGAAGGTGTAAACTGGCTGGAAAGGGAAGAACAGGAATTTGGCAAGAACCATTTTTTTTCCCGGAGGACACAAAAAGGGGTTTACAACTCATGTGCAATTCTTAGAAAGCATCACTACCGGTATTTTGGATAATGATCTTTGGGCATCGAATGGTGCATACGGGAGATCATGCACGACAAAATGTTGAAAGCAGGTGATTGGCGTAAAAACTGGGCCCGGCCACACAAGCAATAGGATGTACAGTCTACCATTGCTTTTACAGAAGAGATGTTCTTTGTGTAGTATTACAGCTCAAAAGTGCCCACATTTACTACAGTTTTTGTTTTTTTGTTGATGTTTTCTTTTTCTTGTTTGGCATTCACACAAAGGACTCACGGGAATTGAAGTGAGATTCGTATTCATTACAGGATGGGAGAAACTATTCCTACAACAAACAGGCCGGACACACGCAAGAAATGAAGGGTAAAAAGCTATAAAAAGCTACATGAGTATCACTACAACATTTATGCGGGATAAAAGATGAATCGTGGAAAATGTTACAAATGGAAATAGCAATGGCAACTACATGGAGTTCTGCATGGATCTCTGCTTTTGATCTGACACTACACGACAAGTCTACTTACACGCTGGATAGTTGGAGGTAAGAGAAGTATTCATATAAATAAGAAAAGAAAAAGAAAAGCAGAAAGAGTTTCAGAACTGAAAGTCTAAATCAAGAGATTGAAATCAAACTCCCGATCGAAACATCTTGAAGACTAATCCACTGACCACAATTACACGTGAATGTATGTACATGTAGCAGCCAATACTGGGGAAGCTATTGAACATCATACATGTTTTCTCACACTGGAGATGCTCGTGAATTTTGGCAAGTTGCTAATACCCTACGGGTCAAGGGGGCATTGAGTGCGAGTCTGCAATCTGTACACATGCATGGTACCATCTCAGTATGGCCGCTAATTGTGGTCGTTGGATCAGTCTACAATGGTAGTCTCCGATCCAGAGTTGTACACGAATGACTTGAGTTTAGACTCAGGTCTTAGGTCTCATTTTTGGAGACTCATGGACACGAGTCACATTGAACAATAGCTCTGACTTGGATTAGAATCATTGTGTGACTCGAGCTCAAACAGCAACATGCCCAGTTAAAACAATAATCGTTACTCAATTGAACCAAAACTACCAACTCAAATGACATCTTACAAATCCTGAAAATGTCAAGCAATCTTTTTTTTCTGGTGAAAGACTCATTACATACATGTAACTCATCAGGCCAAAAAAAAAATCTCCAGTTTGTGGTATGCGCGCGCATCGCCATAGCCATGCGCGTTGGCAAAATTTTAAAAAAAAAATTTCAAAGTAAGATGATGTCTCAAAACCGCCAAACTTACTGGTTTGACTGAAATCCTGCTGCCGCACAATTTTAACGTGTTTTTACATGGGGTTACGATCGAGTAGGCCTATAAGCTTTATGTGGCCTCTCTGTGCTCCCATACATTTTGCCCTAAATTTGGTCGGGCACCATTTGCAGTCATCAGCCGACATTTGACGGGAAAAAAAAGAGGAAGAAAAAAGAAGCAGCTGCATCGCCACACCACTTTTGGGACAAGCTCCATACCAGAGACTGGAGACTTTTTTTTGGGGGGGGGGCCTTAGTAACGTGGAACTCAGACACAGATTTTGGAGTTGGACTGAGTCTTAGACCCAGACTCGGGTTGAAGTTCATGTACACATCTCACACAAATGTTGTCTTCTTATACATCCAAATAAAATTTGAGCAGTACCGGTACCTGGCTGAAACAAAGTGAGTTAGTGCGGACAAAGATTTTCAAGAGAAAATGAGCAGTTTAACAAAAAATATACAGAAAGCGAGAATCGTGAACATTTTGACGATTGCAAGTTTGCAACCTAAACTACAACAAGAATCTAAGTAGGTACAAGTACATGCATCTGCAAATTTTCCTTCAACAAAAAAGCCAGAAATGAAAACGATTACATCCCACAATTGTCACCAATGCTTGCAGATGTGTATAATAAAAAAAAAAAGATTCACAACTTGTTCCATTTCTCTTGAGAAATAAGTGTCTACTTTGAACAACAATTTGCAGACAATAATTTATTGGAAGTGAACCAGCACATGTCATGCAATGGGCATGGACAGGTATGCCCATATTTGGTCAGACCATGATGAATTGCAACAGTCTGGCATACATGTACTCTGGGCACACAGCAAATCACAACGCAAAAAAAAAAAAGGAAACGAGTCCACATATATGCATGCATTCTGTACATCAAAGGACACAAAACAGAAACAGTACGATCTTCATACCCTACAGCACTCTAGGAATGAGCACTTTCTATTGCAGCACATGTCATGTCTCTCTGCTTCAAACATGTATGCCACCATACATTTTTGTAACCCTGACATTTTTCAAAGTAAACACGTGCCTACTTTCTGCATGCGTAATTTTGCTATTAGTAATCTTGCATTTAACTAAATTACATATAGCATAATTTGTATTTCCTTTTGACTGGCCAGAATGCTAACTTGTCACATTTTGATAATTGGTCGGCGGCCATGTTAGTCATGCAGATGCATAATGTGTATAGTATACGTGTACGTACAGGAAGCATTAAATCGCTTAACTGAAAAAAACGCATAAACGTTTAATTTTGCATTGCGTAATACTTATATTCTACAAGGCCAAAAAGGGCAAATGGTGAGAACACTAGTTCAAGACGTCTAATTATAACCAAAAAAAATACAATTTGTCCATTTCATAGGTTTTTTAAAAATTTTTTTTGTTATTCCAGGCGGATTTGGTGTGCTGTAGGCCCCCCCTACAGTTAATTAACTGTTGAAGTGTAGTAACCCACCCTTCATTTGTTAATTAACAACCAGTAGTTTTTCTTTTCTTTTAACTTGAAGAGTACGTTGTAAATGTACTTTAATGCTTAATTATCCTCTGTATGATCCTTTTTATCTGCAGGCTCAGTTTGATGAGTGACTATATCTATAACAGGAGCTTATTTCACAATTGTATTTTGCAGAGCAGAATTTCGTTGACAATTCACACTCGGTGTTTTGCAAGTTACATACATGTACCACTACCATTCATTTGACAGCAGATGGCTTTCTCGTGCTGAGTTCTATTTGTCAACTTGAGCACATACCTCAAGGTCACTGTCATGTGTGGAGCTGGCCAATCGACATTAATATGACTCATCGAGAGTGATATTGACAATTTTTATGGTTCGGGGTTTTCTTTCTGGAATTTACATTAATATGAACAGCAAAAGCTTGCCGGAAGTACAGTACATGTATGATGTAGATGTACACATGTATATTTCATTTTTGTGTACATGAATACATGTAAATGCAGGTTTTGCTCAAATATAACAATAGGCCTGAAACAATGCAACAAGCTTGCACAGTATGTGTGCGCGTTCTTATGGGAGCCAGGTAGGGATGAGAATCTGCAGAGACACCATAAGAAAGTGCACATAAACAAAGTGTGAAGTTGTTATTTTTGAGGTCTATTATGTGAATGGGAACTTCACTGGAATCCCCTAGAGTTAAGCAGGATTCTTGTGTGTCATATTAACAAAACCATCACCATCAAAATGACAGACAGTAACAGTACAAGTACCGACAGAAAATGTGTTAAAAGTTTGACACTAACAAATGGCATTAGAACTACACGATCAATCTATATAAGTTGTGTTTTAATTATGTCACTATTGACTTCCATTAGTGTATTCTCTTAAAAATTAGTTTAAACGAGTACTAAAAACCAGTACCACATTTTTTATTGAGTAGATATATTTGCATGTAAGCCCCATAATAAGACTCAACAACTGTATCTTTGTGCTTCATGCATACGTGTACATTACATTTATTATGGGTTGGGTGTGAGAATATCACACAAGATTGAAACTTGGTTCAGTCGTCGATGTGGACACTGTTTCGTCCTCCGCTCGTATTACGCATATTAGTCCCAAATATACAGTAATTTTTGTTTTTAAAAAGATGTCAACTTTAACTGAGATCTCAATAAATCTCAACCTCGCTTGACACTTTTTGTAAATGAACCGACACGGGAGGAATTTCCCAGGAATTCACAAATTATCGGCGGCCGTCTGCGGACTGGCGAGGCATGGGAACAGAAGCTGTGACACGGTGACAAGAGGGCAAATATTGTGACATCAGATATCTGTGTGTGTCTCCGTGGTATGGGATCTCTAAAGCGACTAGGGGATAGCAAAGCTGACACACTGACTGAACATGAAGGCATGTGCTTCTGCTTAAAGCTACAGTCCATCATTCGCAGCTATCCAAAAAGTAACTGACGTAATTTTTTGTTGAAAAACATACTTGGTTGAAAGATAGTAAGGGGACTAAACTCCCTGTGAAATTATTCTTTCTTGCAAGCTGTCATTTTGAAGAAATCAATGAAAGAAGGCCTTTCCAACGCAGCCGTTGACATGACGCACACGCGCGCGGTTGCTATAATTTGTCGGATCAGTGCGTGACATCACGAAGCTGCAATTGGCTCAGTGAGAACGTGTCTCAGACCCTAAATTCAGACCCAATTCAAAACATGATTCAGCAACTTTTATTTGAATTCGAGATCCTAGAATGTTGTTTTTCGCGGAATATACAGCTGAAGCTGAGCTGAAACTTCATCAGGTTAGTTGTTCAGTGCCCTTCTTTAGATTTTGAGTACGTTTGTTGCTTCAAACGAACAAAATGCACAAATTACAAATGATGGACTGTACCTTTAAACATAGAATGTTCAGTTTACATGTATATCACAAAAAAAAAATCAAATCCTTTAACCTACATTTTTAACCACAAATAAATCATTTGAATGGGTATAGTTTATCACAGAGAATGGGTAATATTTACAGAAGTTTAAGAAAGCAATGTTTACAAAATATACATTCTTGCATCCAAACTAGGACAAAATATAAAGTATTCTATTTAGTCTATTTAGAGGATGGACGTTTGCATGTAGCTTTTTTAAACTTCTTCAAAATGAACTGTGAGAACAATTTTGTCCAATTTTTCGGAAATTTCATGGCATCTTGCGACTCTGGAAATTGTCTGGTTGTAATATTCAAAATTGATTTGTTCATTCTATATGATGTGAGTATTATACAAAAGGGCAAACGTGGTTGGTACATTGTACATTTGTAAACTATAACCTTTTCAGTTCACCACGTACACGTACACGTATCTGCATCTTTGGGCACCTGAAATAACCAACTGTATCCGCACCAGCGACGGGCCAGGTTTTTTTCTAGGGGGGCAAAGCACATTTTCCCAAAAAAATCCTCATACTTTCTCTGGCATACATGTATTCTCAATTTATCATTTTTTTTTTAGGTTGGGTGGGGGACATTTACCCACCCCACCCCCATTGACACACCTGCAGACGCACATTTTGTTAAGTGTGTTTTAAATAAATAGCAAATATGACTTCACACCTCCTTTTCCTTTCTTTTAAAATTGTTTTGCTTCCTTTAAAAATTTTTTTTTTCCCTTTCCAGGGAGGGGCAAGCGCCCCCCCCCCCCCCGCCCCATCCTGGCGACGCCCATGGCACCAGCCTACTTTATTATTTAGGACACGCACAACTGAGACTAGCCTGATTTTTTTTTACAGTAAACCTTCACACACACACACAAATAGTCCAAAAAGTGGAGCAGTTTGATGGTATGCTCATTCGCGTGACTGATTCAACACATTTTAGGAGCCGGTCTCGCTTGATCGCCCGCATGCCACAACTAATATATTTGCTGCGATCACTCGTCCGTTGAATATGTCAAGCTTTTCCTCAACGAAGTTCATAGTGATAAAATTTTATTTCATAACAAGTTTTAAAGGCGACTTTAATTAGTACTTAAAGAGCATACTGATTTGTTTGAGCTTGCAGACACAAGGGATATCAAATTGGTTGTCACTACAAAATGAAAATGAGGTACACATTGTGTCTTCGTACTTAGTAAATCAACATGATGCTTCTGTGTACATAATGTACTTCGGATTCAAACTGTAATATTTCTCAGTGACGTACCGGTATTATTGCCATGTTAATATTTAAATTATTGTGTGGGTTTTTTTTTCTATTGAAACTCTTGATTTAAGAGGACATATTGCTGCCATATTTCACTCCACATTTCAGTGCCACCAAGACGCATCCTGACAAGATTTATGGCACTTTCCGATAGGGAATATCTCTGAAATTTCTGAAATGCATTCCGCATACTTCTGATATTCTTTAGAAATAGTAATACTCTGCAGACTTGTGTTTGCATGAAACTGAGCTTGTAAACCTTTTTACAAAGCATTATTATTTGGTTTAACACTGCATACTTTTAAACATTTAGTTTTCATAGTAATTAATGTAATTACGTACATGTACATGTACATGTAATTCATTGTTAACCCATTCTTTTTCCAAATTTCAGCTGTGTGAACTTAAAACCTTTTTCTAAATTATTCGATAAAAAAAAAAATGTATAAGATGTCCAAATTTGTTCCATTCTAGTTAAAAGATTGGAACTGGAAATTCATCTTGTTTGAATGATAGAGACTTGTCTATGTTTGTATGGCTTATCACCAAACATTTCAATTACACTACGTGCAGCGTGGTTATTGATTGTTTCATGCAACAGTATACAATGTATGTACAATATAACATGGTTTGAAGGTGGATGGTCGATATTAGCTCCCAGGGCATTGGAAGTTGACAAACTATTTCCTGAGACGAAGCCGAGGAAACTAGTTTGCCCCCCATGCTACAGTTTGATTGCCCAATAAGGCGCATGCATAGTAGACCATCACATCGGTATCCTGCATATTCACCCTGTGCATCAATCCATGCAAAACTAGTGGCTGATACGCGATGGTCAATGGACCAGTAGGAATTCGTCTCTCGCTCATGAATATGTATGAGTTATAGTAATAAGAGATCATGCATATATGCAAATTAAGCAGAAGTTAGTACAACCTCTCGCCCCTCTCCGTTCTACCACATGCCAAGATATTAAATTTCCAATTTGATAAATACATTGTACATACACGGTGGAACAAGTGGCACTTTTCAACCCCTGAAATGCTCCCATAAATGTGCATCTTATTTCACACAGACCAGTCTCAAATGAGCAACTGAGAATTTTTCCCGTTGATAGCTGTCTGTTTATTTTTGACTTATATAATTCAATTTGTGAGCAAATGTCCATTATACTTCATCATCCAAAAAACCCACAAGTAAACAATGACGAGAAGACAGACTTTCCAAACTGTAAAAGTTTGACAGCTACATGTAAGACTAACTGTTCTGTAACAGGTACATGTAGAACAGCAAAGAATATACATACGGTACATGCATGTACTTGAGATACAGTACCTTTCTGGATTAATTTCAACCACCAACACCACCACTTGACAGACAATTAGTGCAAATACAACCTACTCATAACCGACTGAATCGCTAGAATTCGTCCTCATATTGTTTATCCGCAAAGTACTCCAATTCCTCCATCAGGAAATGGGAAATTCCTGAACCTGCCACTAAAACAAATTGGCATATAGGCCTATTTCAAACTCGCGTATTTAACAGCCTCAACTGAAAAGTCCAAAAGCAAGTTTTGGGAATCGATTTCAAAGTCCACGGATGAGTCAAGAAGAAAATACCCTTGCAATTCAGTCAGGAGAAAGATAGTTGCCAGCATCGGCCTGTTTAACCCTAAACTCCCTAGGCCTTTTTGCTCAATCCTGCAAAATCCTCCAAATGGCCTCATGGAAAAATAGCATTTAGTTTCAATCCTGTAAATTCGTCCATTATTTCCTGAACATGGTCCATGGAGGGGTGACTGCAAAATGAATCCTGCAAAACCATGGGGTAGTGACTGTCAATATGTTGAGGCTTGGCCAGTGACATCCTGGAGCAGTACGGAGGATTTCAAGCATAATCCAGGCCTATATTTATGCACCGCCGAGCAAAAACAACACAAGGTCCGGCCCAAGACCTTGACAAAGTGCATCCTACGAAATCAGTAACCTCAATCCTCCAAATTCCTCCACTTTGGCAAACAGGATTTTGAAGGATTCAGGGCAGTTAGGGTTAATATAAGGAAAGGTTAGTTTCACACCAAATACCATTTCAAAAAAAAAAGAGTGCAGTCACACTACCTTCAAACTGTTTGGGGTGTGCTCTTTGTCTTTGGGTCCATTCCTCCTCTGGTTTGTATAAGAGCGCGGGAGGGGATTATAAGGGGCAAAAAGGGGTGGGGGAGGGGGTCGGGGAAGGGGTGTGGCAAAGGGGTGGGGCAAAGGGGTGAGGGTAACGGTGGGGATTTGGGGCGGCAAAGATGGTGCGGGGAAGAAAACAAGAAACGGCAAAAATGAGCAAACTTGGCAGGCGTTCAAACGGTGCAAAATGTTTTCCATGAAAGGTTCACCAAAAAAAGAAAGACAAAAGTTATTTCAGATGAGGTTATTATGAATCATGTGCATGCTTTGAAAAATATGCAAATTAATCCCAGCCCAAAAATGTGAACTAAGCCCTTCTCAAATCCAAAAAGTGTAAGAGGAGAAAACGCAATGTTATAAATTGATATGCAGACCCACTGCCAAACACAGACATAAAAAAAGTTTGCTGGGATTCAATTTAGGAGGAAATTAATACACTTTTTCCCTCAAGTGTTGCTTGAAGCTTTCAAAACCACCGCATTGGAAAAGCCAACTAAACAGTCTGCACGACATTCACTTGAAATCTTTTCAAAACGACGCTTTGAATGCAGGACTCTATAGCGGGCGAATAATGGCATTCATTCTAAAAAAAGGAAATTCGCACCCGGCAGGAAATGTGAATTTGTGACCTGCCCCACAAAAAGGGTATTAAGTCCTGCTGTGCACAATTGTGTATTGGCCCATTCGACATTGACAGCCTTGACGTCAAAACCTACGTCGCTGCAATATTTTTGATTCCAAAAAGGTATCTAAATAGTTCTTATCAACATGATGGAATCCTACATTAGTACACATGTACATGCTGCTATTGAGAGCCTGGGTGAAAATTTCGTCAAAGTGCGTTTTTAATTTTTTGTCGTGAATGAAATCTTTAATACCTAATGTTTCAGGGTTCATTCACAGAAATGTTGATTTCAATCAATAAAGTGGGTATAAAAACGACGATTTTGAGTACATCATGCATTTCAAAGTCTGTTTTTTTTTCAGTTGTGGAATTTGATCTCTAAGGAAGTATGTCATATCTACAGAATGGGAGGGGCTATGGAGCTCTATCTCATACCAAATGAAAGCATACATTGTGGACTTTCAATCATGTATATAACTCAATTCCATTTTTCTTGGAAACATAAAACCTTTTTTTGTGGAGGGGTTCACATTTTTACTTTGCATTGTGATTGTGAGGGGCAGATAATACGTGCAGAGCACTAACAGCGTTAAATGTTACCTTCACAGGAATAACTTAAGATATAAAATGTACATGTGAACCAATGAAACTCGTCTCATAAAAGAAATTGAGATTAAATTACTTGTGCAAATCAAAGAATAGAAAACAAGAAAGTGCCAGTATGTTTTTTCCCATAATGTGTACTTTTTAAACTTTGAAACATCGAAGAAAAAAAATAATTGTTAAACATTAGTGCATGTTGTCAGAGAAAACTCAAGGGAAATTCATCAATGTTTTGGAAATTGTGCAAACACCTCAGAGGAAATTACTCAATGCATTTCTCGTACATGTACGTACATTTTGTAAATTTATGGACAAATCTACAGTTGAAAAAAAAGTACAGCTGTCATTTCCATCATGCATGAGTTTAAATATACATGTAGTCCTGTCTTTGACTTAAGCTGTGGCTAACGGCTATGGCTGCCATTTACTCGAGTGTGTAACTGCAGAAGACAACAGGCATAGCCAGAGGCACAAAAGCCACATCAGACACGGTCGTTCTGACTCCAATTTCGTCTGGATCTGGACTATTGACCTGGTAGCCTGACTCCTTAGTCATTACAGGAGTGTTACTACAGTGAGATAAAATGATCATTATGATGAAATTTTGTATCATATGGGTCTATAATGAAGGAAATGGCATTTATCAGCAATGGTATGGCAGTATTATTGTATTCAGTTAATTTTTTTTTACTGCCGATCCGGTTGGGTCTAATTTCAGTTGAGCTGAAAATAATTATATCACATTCGAGCTACCGTGTTCCATTGACAACAATAGCAAGCATCATGTGGTGAGATTGTTTTGACTGGTGCTAATAGGAGAAAATAAATTTCAATTACATGTACATTTATCAAGAGCAGTAAAGTATATTTTCACAAAATGCTGCCATGTAAAGCTTTTCTCCCTGTAAAAATCATATATATGTGATGAACAAACAAAGTTGGATATTAAATTTTAGACACAAGTCTGCAGTATGTTAATTGGCAGCCATTTTTTTTTGGGGGGGGGGGGAGTGGACTATCCATTCAGGAGGGGGGGGGTGCCAATACTCACCATCGGAAGCTTTTTGTTTTCTTTACTCTCCTCTTCTTCCTCCACGTCTGGAAATTCGTAAATCTTGATTTTGTTCTCGTCAATTTCTTGCATAATCTGAAATAAAACCACAACACATGTACTTCACACGTACACAGGCAGAAGTGGATACAGTGAACATGGTGAAGGTCGATAAAAGTGGATTTCAACTCTAGAGGCATCAGACTATTCCAAAAACAAGTTTTAAGACACCGTATCTAATGAGCAGATGTACTTAATATTTCTTGATGAATGCACATGTACAGTGAACTTGTTTACAAATCATTTGCAAAGCTCTGTTCCCTACATCACTATTGAATTGAGGTCAAGTCATTACAGGCTTTGTTCAGAACTGCAGATGGTGCTTATACTCATGAAATTCTTGGAAGGAGGCATTTCACACAAGCATACATGTTTGGTGCAAAGTGGGTCATTCTATAAATTTGGGGTCCACTTTTTTCCCGTCCCTGTTACATCTGACATCTACCGGGTATGATTGTATAATTCTGATGCACTCCTTAATGCAGTCTTCCTCCAAGAGTGATTATGAATAGCAAACTATACCTACCCAACAAATAAACAATCATTTGAAGTCACTTGTAATGATGCTTGAATGGCAAATTACAAAGTACAAAGGTAACAGGGACAGGAAAATGTCACACTTTGGACCCCAAATTTATAGAATGACCCACGTGCATGTGACCAAGTTGAATGCACAAAAACTAAGACTCTTCACATTATGACGGCGATATGTGTACATGTTACTGATGCATAACCGTAGAAGTATATATTCATGTACATGCAAAAGTTCACCATTTGCAGAGAAAATACACATTACCCCACAGCACTAAGACAATTTTGAGAGGAACCTTGCTAAATCCTTAACAAATTTCTACTCTGCAAGAAACAAAAGACACTTGATTTATATATCAAGAGGCACCCAGCACCATGTAGAGTAACAGGGGGCTGTGGCCTCAATCCTACCAATTCCAATACTTTCTGGTAGCTATGGGCTTCCCTTTTTATTTCTATGGTTCTTGTATTGTTTGCCTCTGACATACATGTCTGAAGTGTATCATGAGTTGACATTCACTGAACAAAATAATAGAGCCATTTCTGGCAAGGTGTAATTGACTTACATTATGTCTGCACCATGCAGCTTGCTAACGTTTTGTTTGTAGTGGCAGCCGTGATATACCAGGAAAGACCTGTCAACTACAGACCCCTAAAATGATGAGCGGCAACACACTCGCATCTTCTGGGATTTTACTGGTTGCTACACGCCGTACTTCGCATCAAAATCCGGTATTACTTTCCATAGCTTCTCAAATAACACAGAGCCTTATTGCCTGAATTTTGTTCCTCATTTATTAAAATTGTTTGTAAGTGGGGGTTCCAGACATTCAGAGGCGGCGGTAATTAATTGTTTTTTTCTTCTTGAGTTGGAAGCCGCAAAATAGGGTCGGTCGGGAATGAAAACCAAAGAAATAAAAAGGGATGCCCTTATGAAGGATCCGGGAGAGTCAGGATCAGGGTAGTGTCCTATGGGCTCCGTGCACCAACAAAAGAGGGCGCCCTCCTACCTAGCAACAATGTCCCATGGGCAGGACACATACATTTCGCCAGGTGACACCCGTGCACCATTCCTTGTGTGTGACGCATGTACACCAGGAGATTTCTACTATGTACAAGCAGTGGCCGTGCTTCGCAGCAAAACATTGTAGTCAGGCAAGATGGCGTCGTTCGGTCACCCCTGACTGTACTTTCTTTGCCAGTGAGGGGGTACTTGTGAACGGAGCGGATACTAACCCTCTTTTTAAAATCTCTGCACTCCTCTGGCGTCATGGTGTCTGCCTTGGCGATGAGCGGGATGATATTCACCTTGTCGTGTAACCTCTTCATGAATTCTACATCCAGGGGTTTCAACCTGGATGAAGGAAGAAAATTGAGATCAAGTAAATTTTGTTTCAATCATCAATTTGAATTTTCACCACCTCGCTCAGTTCATTATGTGTAGCCAGGGGAAACACTGGTACGTAATGTACATGTACATGCCATTTTTCAAGCAAAAACAAGCACTGCATATGTATACAGTATGAACCTATATCAAGTGCACTGTAATTCATATTGTTGCAGGAAAAATAACAAAAGTGAAGTACAAAAGTCTTTGGGTTCTGGTTCTAATTATTTTAAACACTGTGTTTTACGTTCATATGTTTTTCCTTTTGATTCCACTTTGTTATGTACATGTACATGTGTAAATTAATTTTGTATGGGTCAAATAAATAATAATAGTCCAAAAAAAATTTCCAACAGAGAACCTGCTTTTGGGGGAAAATGGCTCAGAAAGTTCAGGAGACGAATCCCTATTTTTAGGTCTAGACACAGCTTTCCGCGAACCAATTTGGTGGAAGTTGCCTTTTTGGAGATCTTTCAAGGTAGAATTTGGCTAAAAGTGGACTCAGGAAGCAAAGGGAAATATTTTAGGAATGGAGTACACAGATATTCCAACATCAACGTCAAACCTTTAAAAAACAGAAGAATTCCAAACTAAGGCCTTGGAATAATCACCCAAGACTAATTTAAAGTAAACACTTTTGTGTTCTTCCCCATCACCTTGAACACAGTGAGCTAGAAGTGACCCCCAATTCCCAATATTGCTGTCTTTTAAGCACAGGAGATTGCAAGGATTTCAACCTTGACTCCAGTCATGATGAGTCAGTCTTACATGAAGGACCAAGCATCCTAGGAACCCTAGGGAATACCAACTAAGACCCAGGCCACTGCCATTTCTGATGTACATAATTTACTGTACCGGTGGGTGTCGGCCCAAACTCAGGAAAAGTTAAATACCAGAAGTAATCTGCCAAACCTACCGGTAACCAAGTTGATGAGAAAAGTTATGGTTGAGCCTACATTGTACAATGTACATGTATGTACGGTATGCGTACAAACGGCAGCAAATTTTATTGTTGGGTTTTGGCCCTTCTTTGAACTAGTTGAACTGTAAACTCATTGTTTGTTCAAATACATCGATGTAACAGATCTTGCAGATTTTCGAAAGGAGCAAATTTCAAGCCCAGCTTCAAATTTTGAAGTATTGTTTTCTTATCATAAAAACTTGTAAAGCAAACTACATTTATTTCCAGGTCGCTAGAATTTACAAGTAACTTATTTGAAAAATCAAGGTGCATTTTTAAAAAAAATCATCCTACAGAATAAGGATGATTGATGGAAACATTCACGAGTGATTTACTGCTCACTCCAATTCCCCAGTGCTTGACCTTTGACCCTCATCATCAAATGCCCCTGAAGGAACACGGCCCGATTAAGAAATTGCTGCAATACCTTCCGCACCTGTGGTATTTTTTGAACGCATCATAAAATTTACAGCTCCACAGAAAAAAAAAGGAAGAAAAGTCTGGTTGCTGCTGCCAGCTGCAAACACATGGATCCTTGCACAGATGCGCATACCAAGGCTTACGACATTGCTACTGGCAGTATTTAAATTTAAGATGCCAGATTAAAAACTAAATTGCATAATTGATTAATTTGTTAAGGCTGTGATTACCTACATGTACATGTTGAGCAATTAACTTGATTATACTGCTTGTAGAAACATGTACACGTACACATGCATGTATGGTACGTGTACATTGCATTTACCGGTATGAGTATCCGTAAAGTACTGGTAAGAATGTAATTAGCACATGAAAATGGTTTTCAAAAAAGTCAGGTGTGAAACTGCTAAATACTATGTACTGTCCAGTACATTTTGAATATTTATACATGTAAATTTCACAAATTTTCATTTAATGCTTAAAAAATTTCTCGAAATATTTAGTATGTACATACATGTACGAGTATGGGTACATCTAAAATGCAATTCTGCAATTAACACAGAACATTCGAAAAAAATAAATAATAATAATTAGGGATAATATACTTTTTATTTTAAAATTACATGGAAAGTGTGAAGTTTGACAAATTTGTTTCTCAGTTTGTGGGGGTGGCGGTCAAATTTAGGGAAGAAAAAAAAGTGTTATCCGTACACCTGATTCACTTTCCAGAATTATGTGAATATTTTTTTTGGGGAAAACGTCAATTTATAAAATGCAAACTGTTTTGTGGGGTACACAACATGTACATGTACATGGACATTTTGGGGAAAAGATAATTTTCAATAATTTTGTGGGCAAGGACATTCAACTCACAATAACAGGGAAGGCGACCATGAAAAATACAAAGTGTTGACGTTAGGTGCTAGATTTATGCCCAGGAATCACTGTTTATCCCCCAGGGATGGAACAATCATCAGATACTGGTAGATATGAACATGGTAAGACACTACTGGCCAAATGGAATGACAGGCACGTAGGAATGTCTACGCTGTACGCCTCATCTTATAAACAAGGTCTGCTTGTTTTGAGACAAAATATTAGATGTACATGTAGTACTGTATATGAAACAAGATATTTTCATAATGTGGATCGCTATGGGATCATTCTTACCATAACATTCAAGTTCCATTGAATTTATAACTAGAATTCTTATATCATGTGCTTGGATACTGTAATTTCATTAGCCTAGGACACCCACGTGTCTGGACAATGAAAATGCATGTAACACACTGAGAGCGCATTGCGCGCGCGTGCAATGTGAGGGCGTGCTAGCTTCGCGCAATGAGAACTGCAACGTCAAACGTTCAGTCTCATGTTCGGAAGGACGTCTAAACATTCAGTTATCAAAGGTTACATTGCAGTAGTTTAATCTATTTCTCACACAGTAAGTTACAACCATTTATCTTTATGAGTTTATATTGGCACGATATAACAAAACAATTGTTGACTGCTGTGATGTGGGATATGTTTTCAACCCCCTCGGGTGCTGTGCGCCCCTCGGGTGTTAAAAACGTCATATCCCACATCACAGCGGTCAACAATTGTTAAATTTATATATAATTGCCATTCTCTCAGCTTAATCGCGACCTCCTTGACAAGTTTTTCTAGAAACCTTTCTGAGTTTGCTTTCCAGCGTTCAAGACTTGTTTTTAAGTTTTGCTTTGTTTTTGTTTGTTGGGTTGTTTGTTTAAATTTGCTTTCTGTCATTTTTTGTTTTTGCTTTTTCCCTCTTTTTTTCACAATGGTTTTAGAAAACAATGCTGCATATACCGGTATTTCACAGCAACCTTCATTCATAATAAATATAAACCTTCATCCATAAATTTGTCCTTGGTGTGCAATTGAGGCAATTTTTCTTTAATTGTGTGACCTTTTGTAATACAACGCCTCTCAATGCCAAACATTTACTGGTAGTGCTTAAGTCATTATCATGTACATGTAGATGATATTGCCTTAAAAGATACTCAGGAATGATACAAATATTTCTTCAGAAGTTTTTTCGGAAAAAAAAATGTGTAACCTGACGCCACTTTTTCCTTCATATATCATCTCAATGAAGGTCAGTCATTGCAAAAATGATGATAAGACATGAATCTGGGACTGAAAAACATTTCCAATTTTGTTAGGAAATACTAAAAAGTTTCTTGACTCTCCATAGACTTTGTACACAACCGCTGAAGTGGCGTCAGGTTGCAACATTTTTTCCATTTTTTTTTATTTTTTGAAATCCACGAAGTACACAGTCTGTTCAGCAGAGTTATTTCCAGACAGGGTCTGGAGTAAAAGACGAACACATCCTGTATTAGCTCTAGGGAATGGGCCGGTCCTGACTAGATACATGCTGGTAAACGTTTGGAGCGGGTCTCTGCAAAACAGATTCCTAACAAAGCCTACAAACTTGAGCTGTTCAATAATAAATCAATTACAAAGAAGACATTCAGTACCTACATTTTCACTAGGTATGATCAGACGGCACATCGGTTTCCATACCTTTGCCTCTTCCCCTCCCCCCTCCCCAACCATTTTGTTAAAAGCTTCCAGCAACAAATTAATGCATGAAACTGCAACATACATGTAACATCAGTCAAGTATGGGTACCATCTTTGCAAAAGATTTGATGGGTTAGAAACAACACCGGTCCAGTACAACTTGATACAGCTATGCTTTGACTGTAGGTGACTGATAAGCCAGCTGTGCCTACATGTACCACTTGCCTGTTTTTGTCTGTTGACTGAATTTGACTTAGTCCTTGCTTGAAATATAATCTGACTATAATTGGTGACTAGCCTGTGTAAAAGGCATGACAGGGGAACAAGATTGACAGACTGTTGATTTGTTTTAGTGCCAACTGGGCCCAATTTCACGGCGCTGCTAATCACAAAAATTTGCTTAGCACAAAAAAAAGTCTGGCTTATAAAAGCAGGTTACCAGCCAAAACTCCATGTGATTTTTCATGCCAAGCAAACAACAGCTGAGTACCAATCACGAGCAATATCCATCACGTTGAGTTTTGGCTGGTAACCTGCTTTTATAAGCCAGACTATTTTTGTGCTAAGCAAATTTTTGTGCTTAGCAGCGCCATGGAATTGGCCCCTGATGTCGATTGTCTTAATATCATCACAGATACACTCAGATTGCAAAAAAAAATGGCGACTGATATGCTCCTGATGGTCATAGCTCAGGGGCAGCTTGATCGTGAAAAGTCAGTCGTCGACTGTTCTGTGTCATCGCAAACGCCACCTGAGGCCGGCCTAAAATACTCTTTGTAACCATCAAGGGGGTGTTTGTGAATGAAGTCTATAGCCTGGTCTAGTCGCAGCTGGGATTACCCGTCTATCTGTCACTTACCCATGGCCTGACGGAGCTATGAAATATAAGCAGCAATGTACTCTCTTGTCTGGGATGGACCGTCTGTTGACCCGCGCCTCGGCGTTCAGGTATTCCTCAAACTTGTTGTCTATATGGTCTAAGATTGGCTGCCAGCTGATGGGGGAAAAATCAATGGTGCATAAAATGTCATATGACGAAATGAAAACCAAATAAGTAAATTACAGAACTGATACTTTTGTCTCTTAGGGAGACTAGGCATTATTTGCCAAACATCACGGAGTCATGAAAACGAGGTTCAAGCCCTAAATGTGCCATCCCTTTTAACTCTTCTCTTAAAACTTCAACCTTCATATATTATTCAACCTCAATCTTACCTAAAACGAAGTGCACTGTGCCTCTACTTCAACTTTAAACCTCAACATTTAAAAGTATGAAAATCTTCAAACCCCACTTTACATCATTTACCTTTAAAACCTCAACTTTTGGAATGCAACCCATTACCTGAAACTTAAACCTCAACCCTCCTTGTACATGTACATGACCCTCAAACTCTTGCTTGGATTCTTTAGACGGTCCATCTTATTACACTTTCCACTGATAACCTCAAACTCCAAACCTCCCCTCGCAACTCCAATTCAAACCTCAAAACTAGTACCTCAGCTTCTGAACCTGTCACAACCTTCACACCCATATCTTTTTACTTCAACCTCCGTACATGTACATGTACAAGTACCTCACACTCTGTATTCTGTACACATACACTGTCCACCGAACCTCATGTTTCTCAACCTCTGAGGTCTGAGGTTTGAGGTGTCTGAAACTGAGACCTCAAACCTCAACAAATCTAAAGCAAGACTCACCAGTTACTATTATCGACCTGGTCTCCAAAGCCTGGTGTGTCAACGATTGTCAGTCTTAGTTGGACTCCATTTTCCTTGGCTGTAACCTGCGAGGTTTCAACCTGTATCATGAACACAAAGGAATCTGAATGATGAATGTGTACAAAGTATTTTTGAAATGTAGTCTCATTATTTACAACTTCACATGCACTGCATTTGTCCTGAATTATGACAATAATAACAATGTCAGTTTCTCCCCCAATTTATTCATGTCACGTTCACGACCCAATAAAACACCAAGCAACTAGTGCACAAAGCCAACATTGTAAAGCTGCCCCCAGAGATATTGCTATCGAAACAGCAGATAGACATCAGCGCACAAACCAGAGCGGGTCATGTCAAGCTTAAGTGGGGATGGGTCATTAAGGTCAAACTCCCCAACAGGAAATGATTACTTTATTGAGTGGAACTCTGTCAGGGTTAGGGGTAGGGTCTGGTTTTTGGTGTTGTCTGCCTTGCTTGCGCATGCTGTAAGGGTTAGGGATTGTTGGTGTTACATGCAGCTTCCTGCCTGCTCCTAGTGCTGTGCCATTCCTTGGACCTTGACTCTTCCCCAATTGTTCACCTTGTCAGGGATTTAGGTGTGCAGAAGTTGGTTACATGGGTCCTTGCTCTATGCATAGACTACATGTACATGTAGGCAAGTAAGATTTGAGGCTTTGCATGGTGAGGATACCGGTACCAAGTGAAAGGTTTGCGGAAACACAATGTGGGAATAATTCCTCATCTAAGAGAATGGTTCTGAAAAGAACCAGAGGTACAATGTACATGTACATATGTATGAACTCGACGTTCCAGTCAGTATGCTCTGACCGTCTTCAGGAGAGTGCCTAAACTCGTGGAGTTTGTTCACGTGTACACACATGCAGAATACAATCATTGTAATGAAAAACACTGTACAAGCTCATGGGAATATTATTATAACACACTACATGTATTTTTCAGAACATTCAGTACACCGTGAGCATGTACATGTATGCATGCCCAAAATTTACATTTCATTTACTGACCTTAATTAGATCTTGTAGGTTCCCTTTTTTCACTAACTTGGTATTTCACATTCAATACGAATGAATAACGAAACAGGGTCTGTACATTTATGTGTTTACATACATTTACTGTTCAAGCATGTACCAGTACCCGCTTCCTGCACATTACATGCACATGTGCATGAGCCAAGGATACAAATAACGTAAATATTTAAAACAGATATCAGCAGAAAGTTTGAGCTCATCCCAATTTATTTTCATTTTCATACATACATGCACATGTACATGTCTGTGAATGTACATGTACATATCTAGACTAATTCGGTGACAGCCATTTTCTGAGGTGGCACCGGGCTCACGCAAGTCACGCTCTGGTAGTACGCGCGCACTCCAGGCTCCTTTGACCAACAGTGTTACCAAAATGCGCACATGCCTAGTCTTTAATTAACCCTTACTCTCTGAGGGTAGTTTACTGCATGTCAGTTGGTTATGCCAATGCCCTCCAGCTGCAGTTAATTGGAGGATACTTGGATGTAGCAGTGAAGGCTCCAATTGGCAGGAGTTGGAGGCCCTGGAGGGTGCCTGATACTGACCAGCTGGGGGCACTTGATTGTTATCAGAGGACTCTCATTGTTCTCTGTGGCATGTATTGGAGTGCCTGTCCAGTTACCCTTGAAATGACATGGCAGATATTGGAGGGCCATGCAAAAAACATAGGAGATTTTCTTAAGGCACATATTGGCATGCGTTGGAGGGTCTAGTAGGGTAAGGGTTAAGAATGCTGTGGCATGAGCGCGGATGTGGTGCCACCCAAAAATGGCTTCTAATATTGTTCACCGAATTAGTCTAGATACTGTCTAGCGCATACAGACTGAGAGGACGCTCAAAGGTAACCCTTCACAGGTGGGGATATCAGGACAGCCAAGATGTGGTACTGAACCACAGAACTATGATACATTTGCTAAGCTGCCCTCAACTGGAGCAACCCTGCACAGCTGAAGACTTTGCAATAAACATGTATAATGATAGTGCTGAGCAATGCGTTCAGCTTTGGCTGAGCCTTGATTAGCCCCCCCCCCCCCCAAAAAAAAACAGTCGGTCTCTAGTCAGACCAAAGTTCCGGAATTGATGTAGCGATTTCCCCCCCCCCCCCCCCAAACTTGTACTGACAAGGTGGGTACTACATGTATTTTGTTTTTGTGTCCTCTTATATCTTGGTGTCCTCCATCATTTGCCTTGGTGTCCTCCATCGTTTGGAGTCGTGCTGCCCATGAAAATTTGAGGCGGTGTGGCAATAGAGGGGGCTGTTGTAGCTACCACGGAAAATTTGAATGAATAAAAAACATAGATGCGCAAGATCAAAATCGACACACGCGCTGACCAGAGACCGATTTTTTAAAAATTTTATTTTTTTTATTTTTTTTGCCTTAGCCTGTGTATGGACATGATAAGAAGAAGTGAATATGTAACACTTAAGTTGGGTGATGTTGCCTGGTCAGACGTATGCACACATATACATTTTGTACAGTCGTACATTGTAGCGCAGTAAACCATCCCTCATTTGCCTTTCATGCTGTACGTGTGTGTACCTGTACACTGTACATGCATGTCGCCCAAAGAGTTGCAACCCTCGCGGCAAGGACAAGCAACAATAACTCTGGCACAACACTCCAAAATAACAAGTCAACACACCTTGCCCAATTGAAATGCCTGCACAGAAATAGACTGAGGGATCAGCGCTCGCGAGTGTTTACAATGATTCAACACAGCTCTTGAGCAACAAGCACTGTTCTCATGTAAATGCTCCTTGTGTATACACAGTGTATTCTTAGTTGGCAGACAGTGATTTCTTGAGAGGCTTGAAGGAAAACACTGTTATGTGTGATCGAAAGTCCAGACTATATATCTGTACATTGCATAAAAAAATATGCCCCCAAAAAGGAGAAATTATCATGTGTACATAACAGTACATGTTATAACAAGACAATTTATTGCAATGAATACGCCTACATGTACATGTAGGACATTTAAACTTTCATTAACCCTAGTTTTGTTTGATCAGTCACAGACAGTCAAATACTCAATCCTATTCTGCTGCCATTCCTTTTACATATGTACACAGGCTAGTCACCAACAGTCAGATCATATTTGTAGGCACTGTGACAGTCAAATTCCATCAACAGACAAAAACAGGCAACTGGTGGTAGGCACGGTTGATTTATCAATCTCCTACAGTCAAAGCATGGCTGTATCAGGTTTCATAACAATCACAGCCAGTCAATCCTGCTTTATGAAGGCAGGGAGCACTCAACTGTTAAACAACAGTCAACTGTTAAAAAACAGTCACTTGATTTATTTTGACTGCTGAGCTGGCCTTGTTGAAATTGCCAGCAAGAGAGGGAGGGTTAAGTTACATACATCTACCGGTTTATTAGGCTGCATCGGAATCAGCTGTCTAGAGCTGGGTCTAGGTCTGCACCCATTGAAAATACGCGGGGACGCGCTGACAACAGACGTAGCTCTGGAAGCCGATTCGGACATGGCCTTAATGTCATGAAAGGCAATTGCAGCAAACTGTCTTGCTCAAGGACACAAGGACCCTGATTGGATTCGAACCACCATTCTATAGACTTTATCACTGCAGAGCCATCAAATTCAAGACAGCTGATCAAACAAAACAGAGAGATTAAGGGAGAACCTTGACTGGCTACAAACACCAAAATGTTCTCAACGACACAACTGGGTTTGAACCCACGTTCTCAAGACTCCCTCAAATGAGAACAGTCAAAGACTACAACAGATGCACAGCCAAACTCATGGGGTGGAAGGAGAACTTTACCTGCACAGTTTTCTTCATGCGTTGTGAGGGACCGGGATACTCTGACGAGTAGATGTCTGTCAGGAAGAGAGAGTTGATCAGTGTGCTCTTGCCTAGACCTGATTCACCTGAAAAGACAGAAGGGGGGAGGAGATTTTAAATTTAATATTGAGTTTCCAATTCACCAGAAACGCATCCACCAAGTGCATGTTGTACAGCCTCTCTCTTGCTGTTAACCAATCGTAATTTATAAGTGATACACATGATCACTCAATATTAATTTTAAAAACCTGAAAACAGTATCCAGTCATGCAACTGGAAAAAAACGCGGAAATTCCAAACCACAAAAGACTTAGTACAGTGTTTTTCAATTTGTAATGGCATTCATTCATGAGAAGCAAAAACCGAGAAAATCAGCAGATCCGGAAAAAAAATGGCATGCCTGACCCCTTATCAACCAATCACACTTCATGACCTGTTCACAGCATCACTGAATCGCATTTCAAAACCTACTCAGAGCTTCACTTAACATTAAGATTAAGATTAAGATTATTTATTTGTCATGCATTAAAAAGAGAAAATACATGAAAATTACTTACGGACCAATCATTCATGACCTCTACAACATGATCACATTCACATACATCTACATGCATCAACCAATCATCTTTCATGACCTGAATCCAGCATTACTTAACCAATCATTCATGTACATGTAACTCATGACCCACATACGTGTACAAACCAATCATAACTCACAACCCCAAAACAGCATCACTTATCAACCAATCATAATGCATGACCAAAAGATCGCATCACTTATCAACCAATCATAATTCACAACACAGCATCACTCATCAACCAATCATAACTCACAATGTCCGAACCTTTTAAAACAACCCATCTCGAGTTCTCCCCATGGGCCAGACAAAGCACTCATCGCCTTCCATTTGCCTGGGCCTCCAAGGGTGTTGCCAGCATTCACGAGATATTTAATAACTTGCCCAGCGGGGGCGCGCCAAAGTGTGCGCGCTTTTAATGTTATGACAGAGGTCTACTAGATATACATGTACAACTCGGAGAGCTGTTACTACTACCGGTCAAAAGGATTGGAAAGGATTGATTTCAATCAAAACGATATATTTAGTTGATACTGCAATGCTTCATTTTCAGTTGAAGTCAGTGAACGATTTTACCTGATTTGCATTAAAATGTGCAATGCAATTTGGACATGTTGCGATGCGTTTTCAAAGTCTAGACTGCGGTTTTGCAATTCAAATTTCATTGTCAATTTCTCTACAACATGTTCGGCCTTTTCAGCTGTTGTAATATCAATGCTTTGCCATTCAAAGTGCAAAAGCGCAAAGCACTTCTGCCGTGCAAACTTTTGGATGGAAACTGTTCACTGCAAGTCAAAGGGATATATGTTTATATTTTTGAGTGCATAAAAAAATACACATACAGTACGTGTACTTCTGTGGCTGATAAGTTTAAATTGCACAGAAACTGCAGAATATTGAGTTGTGGTTTAACAAAACAATTATTCTTGATATAAAGTACTGAACTGTAAACCTGGATAACAATTACAATACAAATCATGGTTTTAGGACTTGAGGTTTACATGTAAGGCCAAAAAACCTAATAGTTCTGCTTCCGGTTTTCCTACCGGTACCTACCCTATTTTGACAGCCCCTACCCTAATATTTTTGGGGAAAAAAATGAAGAAAAAAACACCCAATACTATCAATTACTACCTTTTACCCTTAACTACACGCAGACGCCTCCATATGATCGTACAAAAAAAAATGTCCCCCCCTCCAAAAAAAACAATTCCCTACATACCTACCCTTTTTTCGGATGCCATGTAATCAAAAGATATTGTTTGGCCTGATATAAGGACCCGTGTGACTTTGCGTTGATTTTTTTGTAATGTTTAGCATATGTATTTTGAGAACTGTTTAAAAGTTAAAACGTTTCACAAAGGCTGACTGGTAGTCCCTACACAACTACAAGAGCACATGCACACAACTACATTTACATGTGCATGTACTGTACATGTACAAATGTGTGCATGTACATGTACAATTGATGACAGATTCAATCAATGATGACAGATTGAACATGTTTTGCTGACATACTGTACATGTAAAAGTGAGTAATGCTATCACCAGTCAATTGAATTTCACATGAGATCAATGACACACGAATTTCTGATGCTTTTCTTGAAACGCGTTGCTCACACAAGAATACAGTGCTAAGGGCACAGCAAATTTACACGCAGTTCATACATGTACATGTACATGAACCAGTTTACATGTACTATGTAAGATGACATTAAGGGCTTAAATGTTTCTGCCCAATTCTATGATTGTTTTTTGAGGATTTTTTTTATTGTTGCAGGGTGACTTATGTTATCATCACACACAGCTGGGTTGGTGGTTCCAGGTACAACAGAACAGGCAAATGACCTTTGTTCTTGCATCTTGTTGGATTCATGAGCAGTCACCACACTCCCAATTCATAACTTTTTGGAACCCCAGGCACTGTAGATCAGCTCATGGAACATGTTCCTTCGTCCATGATCAGCTGTAACTCACTCAAACATGGCTCACACAAAGCTCCGAATTACAGGTAATTAAATTTAAAGTGCAGGAAAGCGTTCCCCTTTAACTGATCTGAATGCCAGAATCAAGGTATTTGGCCTTACCAACAATTCTCCACAGTCGGATGATTACAAGGCAAAACTAACACGTCCACAATAGGCTTTGGTCCATTCACCCTTTTGTTAAAAAAAAAACCTGGAAAGTGCTCCTTAGAATTTGGCATGTACCGGTAAACACCTTTACGTGCACTTTTTAGGCACAAGTTTTAGGTCGCTAAAATGGACCCCAAAACGGATTGCTTTCGTTTTCGCTGAATGGGGATATACATGTACCGTATGTGTGTATTTGGTAAAAAAAATTGTACAAGGAGTTTTAGACTTTTTAGGTTTTTCAATTCAATAAAATCAAAAAGGTTGTATTAGGCCAAAAAAAAAATCTCCGGTTTCTGGTATGTGCGCGCATCGCCGTAGCCATGCGCGTGACTGGAATCCTGAGGCTGCACAATTTTAACGTGTTTTTAGATGGGGTTATGATCGAGAATAAGCTTTATGTGGCCTCTCTGGACTCCCATATATTTGCAGTAAGTTTAGTCGGGTACCATTTGCAGTCATCAGCCGACATTTGAAGCAAAAAAAAAACAGGTAAAAAAAAAAAAAAGCTGCGTCGCCACACCACTTTTTTGGGCAAGCTCCATACCAGAAACCGGAGACTTTTTTTTTGCCTTATGGTCTTTTTTGGGAAAAGGTCGTCATACTGTATGTCTGCAGTGATCCATATCTACATGTAGATAAATACAGCTTTTAATGATTTCAGACTTGTTCAAGGTAAAGCAACTGAAAAGGTCAAAACGGGAAACTTTTGCGTTGCTTTTGTTTTTTGATGGTTCAAGTCAACAAGTGTCAATAATGGAATTAAGCTTCCAGTACATGTATGTTTACAAAAATATATATTTTATGTATACATGTACACGTACCGGTACATGCAATTGTAAAAACCCCAAATGCATAGAACTGATGTACCTGAGCATGTGCTTTTGCAAATGGGTTTCAATAATTTATGCTTTACGCGTACATGTACTCATATGATGTACATGTACATGTACACGTGTAAAGTTCTGCATAATGCAGTGAAATCAAAATTAACTGAATCTAGGCTAAATGTGCACTGCACACATGTACACTTGTACAGTACTCCTCAACGTACATGTTCTGTGCATAATGCTTCTTATGGAAAGATTTCCATATACGAAGTTCACTAATTTTCCTCTGTATTGACTAACAAGCCCCCAGATAGCAATTTCATGTCATCGAGTCAATTTGAGCAGTGAGAAAATACAAGCATTTTCTTAGAAAACACTTAGAATTTTTCAGTCCAATCTCATAGGGTTTGTATACAGGGTGTTGAGTGAACTTCGTATACCTACCGGTATATGGAAATCTTTCCCTTCTTATTTTCAGTGTTTGTTCATTACATACCATTTGCGTAGGGAGGGATTTTGCACTTTTTGCCTTTTTTTGTAAAAGACCATTCAGGTTAATTTTATAGCTTCCTTCTTCAACGCACATACATATACATGTACATTGTACATTCTGAAGTAGTGACTGTACAGCCGAGTTGTACACTGTGCTATGGATGGGACTGTGCTGCAAGTTTTACAGTACTCAAAGATGTCAAAGTACAGAACTCCCCTCTGACCACATCCTGCGCTGTAAAAACCCTCCATTGTGACCCCAGTTTTTATAATCAACAAAGATTTCAATTCTGCCATTCAGCGTGGCATAATAATCCTTGATTGGCCGCAGTAAGAACTTGCACAAACTCTCACAACCGGGTATTTTGTGTGGTATTTTTTGGCTAAGCCCTTTCCTCTATTGTCACCAGTCACTGACGCTGTTCAAAACCGTTGGAATGTGCCATTGTGATTGGAATTTCAAGGTTTTTTTCTTTATTTGTCAAATCAAGGGGAAGTTTTTTTTCTCCTGGACAATTGGTTTTCTTGTAAAATTTAAGTTTGTTTATTATATGGGATTATTAAAGGGCCTGGTCTGTGACATGTGCATAAATACATGTAGGCACTTGCAAGCAAGCTACCGGTATATTGGGGTTTCTTTTTGGTTGATCTGAGTACGTTTCCATATTAACTGATCAAGTGATACTAAAACTGACTAGACCCAAAGCCAATTATTAACTTGCGACAGAAATGTTCAATTCTAACACTGGCCCAGGCTGAATTTACCGTACTACCAAACGTGCCAACCTTGCCAAAGCATTTGCCTGTGAGAGCACGGCTTAAGTTTCCTTCTTAAACGCTTCAATCCAAACTTTCGTCACCTGATAACTTTCACCAAAATGGAATGACCCAGGTACAATGTGAACCAAACCAAAAATCATGTACCCGAACATGTGTGTATACATAGTGTACATTTCATACAAAAATGAACGCTTTCAATCAAAGAAGGGGGACACATTACGAATGCAAAATAATTATCCAATGATAACAATGTAAATCAAATTAGGTTTTGCCC